CCCCCCCCCCCCCCCCGCTTTCCGCCTTCTTTTCCCGACAGATTGCCGGAGACATACAGCCAGTGTGTGGTCAGCGCTGTGTCCGGCATGTGTACACCCCAGGACGTCCAAGGCTTACGTCTCCTGCTGAAAGCCACGTTCTCGCCCTACACGGATCTTTTCTGCGACAGCAGCAGCAGCGTCAGTGACACCACTACCAATTTCGAGTCTACCGCCACAACAGCTGTGCCTACAACCACCACCACATCCACTACAACTCCAGAATCTACAGCCACCATTACCCCCACCACCACCACCACCACAACCACGCCAGTACCTACAACTACCACAGGACCTACTTTCCCAACTACTACTACCACCTCCAGCACCACCACACCAGAACCTACAACCAGAGCTATCCTTTCATCAGAATCTACAACTACCCCTTCCACCATCACAACCACCACACCAGAACTTACCACCACAACAACCACACCAGAACCTACCACAACAACCACCACAACAACCACACCAGAGCCTACCACAACAACCACCACACCAGAATCTACCACAACAACCACCACAACCACCACACCAGAACCTACCACAACAACCACAACCACAACCTCGACACCAGAACCCACAACCACAACTACAACCACACAGGAGCCTACCAGCACCACCTTCTCCCCCTCCTCTCCTCCGTACCAATGTTTTGGCTGTCAGAGTGGCGGAATAGCCTTCGAACAGCACCCTCAGTGTCCAGTCAATGGTCATCTCACCGACTGGGCCAATCAGACACACACATGCTACGGACCGTGTGTCACCGTCATCCAAAGGTGGCCTCTTGGGGGTAAGACGCAGATAATTTATTAATTAATATTATTGGTTGTTTTTTTAATACCACCATCAACACGAAAAAGATAATATAGAACGTGCGCGGCCTTGACACTGTCTTTCATACACAGTGAGGCTGGGTATATTCCAGCTGACAAATGGAGATATTCGGTTGAGATAAATCTTCCTTAAGAGACAGGTTACGGTACTTGAAAAGATCATCTTCCTCACTTCTATCTTTAGCACGGAAGGCCAAGAGTCAAACCGTTACACCTCAGGCTCAAGGGTTAGAAAGTATGCCACTGGGCTCACTAAAGACTGCTGTCTGTGGTGTTGTGGTGTAGTGGTTAGGCGCTTCGCTGTCGCACACAGGAGGCCCATGTTCAATTCCCAAGTGGGGAGACAATTCTTATTGAGTTTCTCTCTCAGCCCGCAGGATCCTAAACCCGTCTCCTAATTTATCTAATCTAAACTGTGTCAATAGGGGCGTAACAGCTTTTAGAAAGAAGAATTTTTTTAAAAAGGGAGTGCTTATTTAGGCCACATATGGCCTAAATAAGGTAAGGGATGGGGGGGGGTTAGCTTATTTAGGCTACCTGTGG